GGTAATTTTCCTTTGCTTTTAGTATTAAAGTTTCTGCCAAGGAACATTTATTTTCCAAGGCACACTATAAAAGAATGGGTGCAATCTATTATCACAGTATACCATACCAAAGTTGGTACTGGCGGAGGGGGGGGAGGTACAATGGGGGACCAGGTACACAAGCATTGAAGAAATATTAATTAAGTAAAAGGATCACGGGGCATTTTGCTTAGAAATAAAAGCTTTTCTCGTCAAGCCTTTACGTACTATATATACACACACACACGTATGTATGTTATACATGTATATTACATATCTATACACATATATGTACAATTATGTATACATGTGTCATGTATATATGCACATACATTATATACAATACTTGATGTATGCTATAATAAAGCATTTATATCACTAATCAATTCTGGCTGATGACATGGGTTCCACTTGACACCATCATTAGAACTTTGTCTTTGTTTTTACAATTTCAATTTGGAAACCAGTTAAAGCAAAGCTCCTCCTTGTACTGAATGAATAAATACACTTCCCATACCATGTTGATTCAAAGCCACAGTCTATTCATAACTGCATAGAATTTATGGAAAGTAAGGTTCTGGTCAGGTGCTTTTGTAGCATGAACCACCACTGCTGTCATTCAAGGTAAGGCAATTGGCAGGAGCCCACACTAACAGCTACTCCTTTGCCACAGATGAAAGTAGTAGATGTCAGTGGACTCCTAAGTGGCCTCTAAATGAACAAATATACAGCACTCCAAAAATAAGTTATAAGTCATTATAAATAATTACTTTTGTCATACAGCAACATTTGACATGTTTAGTGCTATACCATTGACTTAAAAAAAAAGAAACAACTAAGGCTTTTGCTAAATTGCATATAAAAGCACACTGCCCAGTTCACACTACACAATTTAGCAGCAGTATAAAATAGGTGTCTCTTGCTCTAAGTGCAAATACAGAGATGAATACAAGAGCATATTATGTACTGTATGAGCATACATCAGAAATAGGGATGAGGCTTTTGTTGGGCAAATGCTGAACTCCATCTGAAATACAGATAAGTTTAAATTAACTTTGTGGTGCTGTTTGTCTGTTTTACACAAATCTCCATTAAAATTTGCGAAAACTAACATTCTTCACTATGCTGTACACAAGGGAGATTTAGAAAGGTACATCTGTCTAAGTAATAGCCTCTTTTGTCTTCATATACATTAGTTATGCTTTCCACACACAGAATCCTACTGTGCATTGTTTCTGCCTGAATCAGAGAATTTATTTACATTTACAGAGCCAGCTATACTAAATACTCATGCTGGCTGAGTATGCCAAGTACCTGAAATTAAAAAACAAAAATGAAGCCACACTTGAGAAAGCTGTATTTAATGTTAAAATACTCTGTTCAAATACAACTAATGCCACAGTAAAACACAGGATCTTACAGTTTGTCTTTGAATGCTTTCAGCAGTACATCTGCTGCCAGCCCTGGAGACAGGACACCACGCAGAACCTTTTCTTCTAAAACTGGAATCTTATCTTTGACTGCCAAGTGACTCCGGAAATGGTCCAACATGTTCTCTTGGATTAGATTCCACATCCACACTTTCTGCTGTTTCCGTCGTTTGGTAAGCAACTCACCGCTCATAAGCATGAGGTCACGAAATTCTGTCATCTTATCCCACATGTCTGAGATGCCTTCTCCAGTTTTGGCAGAGATGCGCATTACCTGTTGGATTAATGGGGTCATTAGAAAAGGAATGAAATAATTATTTGGTGTGGGGGTTCAAGTGTAAACTTAAGTACTTCATTAGCAAGATGCCATGAAACCACAGGTGCCAAACTCAGTAAGACCAACTCATCCATTTATCTATGCCAGTGGCTGTGTGCCAAGTTTCATGCAGCTTACTCTTTATGCCTTTCAGACACTACCTAAAATAAAAAAAAAGATTCTGCCAACTCCAAATGCATATTCAATTTTTCTAATGCAAAAAAGAGCGAGGTTTCCAAGTGTTCTTGAACAAACGTATCCTCACTACTATTGTATGATGGTCATCAGTGTTCCATCCTAGCAATGACAACATTTCAGTGATACAGTACGCACTTTTGCATGACTATTGAGAATTCCTTTGGACCAAAGTACTAGGTAAGTACCCAGTATTACTTTAGTAAAGCATTACTCTACTTAAAACAGTAAATTAATTGGATATTCTGGTAACTGCACATTTATTGCTAGCACAACGTTAATATTAAACCCTCTATTACTTAAATATGCCAACGAGAATGTATTTTAACTTCACTTTGCATTATATGCTTTTATTTTTACATTAAAATTTCACTTCCAAATGCCCTTTTTAAAAGGGTTTAAAAAGAGCAGTTACAGACAAAAGGCCTGGTTTATTTATCACAAATAATTATAGTTCCTGGATCTAAAACTTCACCAAGTTGTCAGATGTTGGCACTGCCAAGTAGGGGAAAGTGTGTCTCCTGTCAGTTTATTAAATCTCAAGTCCCAATCAGCTCTCCTCGGTCACGTTTATACAGATCTTTGTGAACTGAACCAAACTGCTGAAAGAAAATAACCCATTCCATTTTACAAAGACATTCATTGCTGATTAACTGGTAAGAGTAATGTTTGTTGTTACTACTTGTCGTTGTAAAGGTTTCAGTTCTGTGCAAACTGACCTGGTCCTTGAACAAGTTAATCCAAAGATAGTAAAACTCAGGAAGTAATGCAAAGCACATATGTATATGACTATCTATCTGAATGAATAACAGCTGAAGACTCATACAACACAGGAGATCAATAAAGTCACAGTAAGGCAATAACATTGTCTGGTAGGGAGCAGGGATAGGTCAGTTTGGTAACTTCTTGGTTTTTTGGTTAAGAAATGCAAGACAGAGAGCAAAAAAACAATCTAAGTAGGGAGTACCGTGGAAGTTAAATCTGCCTTCTGCAGCAATGCCAATCAGTTATTTGGTTTCATACCACTAAGACTGAGGCACATCGATTGGATGCAAGGGAATAGGAACACCCCCCCCCCCCAAAACATGTACAAGCCTCAGGCAATCCATTTGGCTCA